TCTCCTCTCCTCTCCTCTCCTCTCCTCTCCTCTTCTGTCTCTCCCCGCTCTATCCTTCTCACCTGTGTGTCTGTCTTCCCAGGGTTCACAGCAGATCCTTGTCCCCACCCCCTCTCAGGAGCCTTCAGCATGGTGGCCACCTCCACTCACTCTCAGCATCCTTGCGGTCTGGGGCATCCTCGGGGAGCTTCCTCAAGTAGTCTTTGAGCAGCAGCTCGTAGCGGGGGACCCTTTGGACGGGCTCTAGCATATGGTGTTGCAGCGTCAGGTTCCCACACACCTCTTGCTTCTGTAAGATGGGGAGCAGCGTGGTCATCTAAGGTCATGTTTGGACTCCACAGCCCCAGGAGCTGCCCAGGACTGCCTACTCTTTAAGACCCAACCAGCAAGTTCACTGTTTACAACTGGGGAGATTGAGGCTTGAGCAGTTGCACAATGACACCAGAACCAGAACCCAGGTGGCTTACTCGAGGCCCACAGCTCACTCTTTACACACACCCTCACTGCAGAAAATAATGCAGCAATAAGACTGTCTCTTCCCACAAGAGTTACTGTCCCAGCTTCATTCTCCATGGTCAGGAGCTGAAGTCCTCTCCCTCTCTGCTGAACTTTGCCCAGTGTAGTCTATAGGAAGTCAGACAGGACCTCTCCTCATGCCCAGAAGTTGTCCTAAGAGACTTCTCATTATAGACACAAGCATAGGTACTTGGGTGGGCAGGCAGGGTGCTGTGACCCAGAGGGCCAGGATCTGCCCCCCCGCCACTCACAGCTCCTAGCACCTCCCACCTCTCTGACTTGAAGCAGTTCCCTCTTCCAGAGCTCCAGTAGCAATTTGCTATTCCCCTGGGCAAGGCAGACCCTTAGCCCCATGTCATAGTCTCAGACACATAAAAGGGGTGATCCAAAAAGACAGTGAACGTTTACATTCTAAAAATTTGGAAGCGAGCATGGTGGCACAAGCCTGTAATTCCATCACTGGGGAGGTTGAGACAGGAGGACCGCTGGGAGTTCAAGATCAGCCTGGGGGCTACAAAAGTGAGCACAAGACCAGCCTGAATTGTGTAGTGAGATCCTGTCTCAAAAATAATAAAACAAAATAAAATAAAATTCATTGTGGTAAAAGGCACATTGCTATTAAACCCCCTTGAAATACTTCCCTGAGGCGGGGGTATAGCTCAGTGACAGGTACCTGCTTGGCAAGCTTGAAGTCCTAAGCTTGATTCCTGGTACCAAAAAAAAAAAAAGTTTCCCTCTGGGTCAGTGAAATAGCTTAGCAGACTAAGTGTCTGCTTTGGCAAGTGCAGGGACTGGGGTTTGATCCCCAGTCCTGCTTGCCACACTGGCCCCACCCCCAGGGAGCGCTGAGTGAGTCCTGGCATGGTGGCACATGCCTATAATCCCAGCCCAGGGGAGGCTGAAAATGGGAGGATCACTATGAGTCCAAGCTGCATAGTGAGACCCTGTACCAAATACATAAATGGGAAAAAAAAATTCCACCCTTTTCCAACACACTTATCCCATCCTTTGTGACACTTTCTAAAGCAATTTTGGAAGTTGTTCTTTTGTCTTTGCAAGGTGTGATAAAAAAGCAGTGGACGTGGCTGACAAGCACCATCAGTGGAAATGCAGACCACTAAAAACACCACCGTGTGTCCTCATCCCCACTGCTCACTGGAGCTGGTTCCATGTCACTTGTGGCTCTTCCAAAGTCAAAATGACCATGAAAGGTCAATTGAAGACACTGAAGCCACCAAGACAGCTGAACTAAAGACACTCATGGAAGAGAACTTCCAGAAGGGCTTCAGAAAGTACCAAGCACTGTGGCAGAAGCGGGCCCAAAGCAAGGGGAAGAGCTCTGAGGCGGACTCACAGGGGTGTATATTTCTCTGTAATTAAGGTTTTTTCAAAGTCAATATTCACCATATATTTGGATCACGCTTCATGCATGCCAGAAGCTGTTGCCCCATCACAGCCGTGTTCCACTTGGGGTTTCCTTCTCCCCTGCCAATACTCACTGGAAGCATCTTGGCCACCTAACAGCCTGCTGTTTCTGTTCCAGCGCCCACCAGCTTCTGCCCTCCCCCCACCAGCATCTTCAGGGTTGAAGCCATTTTCACCTGCTCCTGGGCCAACATCTTCACACCCGGGTGAGCCCAAAGTTTTCCTGAATACAGCAGGCCAATAGCAGCCTACTTTGAAACCCTTTTAATATGAAGATCAGGATAGTCCCATGATTTAAGAGTATCTCCTTACAAGAAGCTTAGGAATAAAGACAGAAAAATCTGGTTTCCTGGCGGAGAGGCCTGGAGCATCACCCTTCACCAAGTGAGAATCCCCAGAAAGGGGGCAGGTGGAAGATGTGTGGCCAGGCAGGACCGAGTGAGAACATGACCTTACTCCACTGACACCCACTCGAATGCACAGCCTGTGCCAGATCATAGATGATCAGCAGATGAACCTAACCCATCCTAGAGGAGATCAGGACAGAGGCCTGTCCAAGATGAAAGGGGACAAGTGATAATGAACACAACGGGGGGACTTAGGTTGGTTATGGACCAGCAAAAAAAAAAAAATGTCATTGGGATAACTGGTGACATCTGAGTGTGGGATGTGGAATAAATAGATGCTATCAGTGCCAAAATTTCTGAAGTTGATCACTGCTCTGTGATCACGTGGGAGAATATTCTCATCCACTTTTAGCAATAAAGGGCTACAGTATTTGCAACTAAGTCTTCAGAAAATCAAATATAATCGTACATATGCATTTAGAGAGAAAGGGGAACAGGATACAATGTTATCTAACACTTCGGCATTTTTGCACTTTTTCCTGTAATGGTTTGAGATTATTTAAAAATTAAAGTTTCAGTAATTTTAAATGTGGTTTGGGTTGAACAGAGGAAAACTTCCAAGGCCCTGGGAAACTTGATGGTGACCTGATCCCATCTGGGCTGGGCCAGGGTTTCTCACCCTTGGCCCACATACATCAAGGGTGGAGAATTTCTCTTGTGGACCATCATGAACACTGCAGGGCATCCCCAGCTTCCACCCCTCGAATAACAGGAGCAATGCCAGCATCTGCAGGCAGGGCCCAGGTCCTTGGGGCATCGTCATCTGCAAAGAATGGTTGTGCTTTGCTGAGTCTGAGGTGCAGAGCCTGCCCAGGATGGCCTGCTGTGCCCAGCACCTGACGTCTGCCCAGCTATCAGGACACACTAGTTAGAAACCAGCCTGCAACCATAGGCTGTATCCACAGCCAGTGTCCCCAGGCAGATGTTGCTTGGTACAGTGCGGTGCCAGTGTGGCCACTGCAGAAAGCCATCTGTCATTTCAGTCTTACAAGTGTCCCATCCCCTAAGGGCCTGCTGGACACAAGAATTTGGTCTGTGCTGTGTGGCTAGGGAAACTGTAGTCCGTGCTGGGAGAAGCACGGCCTCACTGCTCTGAGGCACCTGCTCGATGCGCTCCATGGCATGTATGACACCATGCTGTGTGATCATGTCAGTATTTTAGTGTTGCAACATCTCCCCAAAAGAAGTCAAACTCCCAAAAGTACATCAGCCCCAGCTGGATAGGCAATGGGAGGAAAAGCAAATGAGTCCTGATTATGGTCTCTGTTTCCCTTTCCTGCCTGAAAACAACCAAAGCAGATATCCATTGGCCAATGCAAATTTAGAGTTCAGCATCCTCAACTGTAGCGTTTTGATGAGGATGACGAAATGACAATGAGAGTGATGACAGAGGAGGAGGAGGTAGGGGAAGAGAAGGAAAGAAAAACAGCCAACTTAAGTCTCAGGGCTGAGGATACCTAGGCCACTTGGGGCCAGAGTCAGAGGAAACTGGGGCGCCCCAGCCAAGATTTCTTGATAGTTTACAATGCATTGACAAGAGACCATAAGGAAAAACACCCATGCAGCTGTGTCCTGGAAAGCAGGGTTATGTCCTTGTCCCCTCTGCAGGGCTGCAGAACCATAGCACTTGCATGGCCCCAGGCTTCGTCCTCTCAGAAACCCACTTGGGTGGGTCCTCATCTGCTCCCCTGAGCTGGCTGTCACCACAGCTGTGCGTGGTGGGTGCTGGCCCCATAATGCAGGGAGCACAGGCTCCTAGACAGGTGACACAAGAGTCCTGTGGCAGCTGCCGTGTCAGTGAAGGTGGAGCTGGAGTTTCTTTTCTTTATGTACATAGTACAGGGCCTACAGGGTCTCACTACACAGATCGGACTTGCAGTGATCCTCCTGTTTTCAGCCTCCCAAGGGCTGGGATTACAGGTGTGCATTACAATGCCCAGTCTCAGTCACTGTCTCAATGTGCCCTGGGGCAGGGCTGGCACAGCTCGCTGGGGATCAAATCCCGGTCCCTATGCCTGCCTAAGCAGGTGTTTTAGTTCACTGAGATATCTGACCTGCCATAAGCTGGAGTTTCATATCCTGTGAACCACAAAGGCTAATTTGTGTTGCTAGGCCCCAGTTCCCCATCCTGAATTAGGAACAATCATTTGTCCCTAAGAGTCATTACGATGAACAAAGCATCAGGACATGGTCTATAATTTTACTAATGTTCTCTATGCTCACAGATTTCAATGAACTCATCTACTACTTTTGGATGTACAAAAGTACATCTTTATACACACACACACACACACACACACACACACACACCCAGCCCCACACATCTTGAGGCTGCCTGCTGGCAGCCACCTACCTGGATGCTGTGAACAACATCCTTAAAGGGCAGAGAGCGCTGGGTCCATGAGCTCACCAGCCCCACCGCCCGGTCAAAGTTCTTGACGTACTCCCCATACATCTTCAAGAATGGGGCCAGCTTCTGCAGGATGTCCCCAAGCCGAGGGTTTGTGTCCCTTTGGTAGAGAGAAAGATCATCAGAGAAACAGGCTCAGTGGGACAAGAGCTCCTGAGGTTAGGGGATGTGAACAAATGCTGGCAACTGCCTGACTCCTTGCACTGCATGGTGGGGGGCACATTGGTCACCCTTTCTGAGCCCATTGTCTTCTGTGTCACATAGGGTAGAACACAGTATGCTATTGGGAGATTAAACAGGAGGATGCCAGCCAGGCCTAGTGGTGCATGCCTGTAATTCTGCTATCTTGAGAGGCTGAGTCAGAAGAATCACAAATCTGACCCACCCTATTGCTATAAATTCCTACTATGGTGCACACAAGGCTTTGACCAAAAAGCCCAGCAACAGAGTAGGATGGGTGAGAGCTTGGACCCCTGTGCCACTGTCATAAAAGGAGCTGAGGAGGCCACACACGTATTTATGGTTGAGTCTCCAGGGCCTGGAGGGAGAAATCCCATGTGGACTTCACCAGCCTGAAGATTCTCACCCAGCCCCAAGCATCTTGGGGACACAGTATAACCTGCTCTGCAGCTGGATCTTATCTGTCTGAAGATGCACAAAGTGACCAAATCTGGTCCTGACCTACTGGCAAAGACCCCCACCCAGGCTCTCTGTCTCTGTGCTACGGGGACACCTCAGGAAAGCCAGGGCTGTGAGGGTCTAGACAGAAGGGATGCTAAGCAAACTCTAGGTATCCCAGATTGGGGGCAGGCCAGGTGAAGAGAGCCCTGATAATGCTTCATTAATTAACTGTACCTTGCTAATGGGAATAAGTGGCCAAGAGGGCAGAAGGAGGAGGCTCTGAGGTTCACTGTCAAGGCGAAGGTGGCCTCCACACAAAGGGGGCAAACTAAACCAACAAGCATTTCTTGTTCTGCATTCTGCATCAACAGCTTCCTTAGAAGCTAAGGCTTGGAGGAACTAAGAGGCTGGTCAAGATCACCCACTAGAAGGGGTGGGGCTGGGATTGGCCCCAGCAGCCTCAGGAAAGGAAGGTGCCTAGCCACGATGCGGCAGCCCCCAGGTACCTGCAGGGGTTTGAGGCCCAGCAACTCCATTGTAGAGGTCCCAGGGGCATCAGGTGTACTCACCATTCCTCCGTGATCCTTGTCCGCAGCTCAGGCAGCAGGAACTGCCCATGGAAGCGATAGATGGAGGAAATGTTAGAGAAGATGCCAGTTGTCACTTCTGGAGGGATTCCTGCTTCTGTCAGCCTGGTGCAGAAAACCTGGGCATAGAGAAGCGCATGATGGTCACTGAGTATGAATCGCTGTGGACAGTGATGCAGGCTGGACACTCGGGCAGGGCCCTGCCTTATGTTCCCTTATGTATGCAAGAGCCACTGTGCTTCCTTGTCATTAAACAACCTGACAGCCTTAACACAAATAGGGAGAGAGGGGCAGTCCTGGGGGAGGGGGAAGAATATTATTGCTCTTCCCCCTCTCAGGAGAAATGGGAGGCTGCCATTTCTTTTTCTGTTGTATAAGACACAAGTGGGAGCAGCACACTCTACCAAACCCTGCTTTCCACAAGTGCTTCATTTCCTGTGCGCAGTGTTGCCTTGAAAACAGGGATGAGTAGCACCCACCATACCCAGCTCATTATGCAGAAAAGTGCCCAGCAACCACCCATGTGCTCAGGTAATGCAACTACGAAGAAGAAATGTCCCTAAGAGTATCACACAAAACCCTGGTCCCAGAGTCGCAAGCCCTGAAAGAAAAAGTTTCTAGACCACACTTAAATTTGCCCAAGTTTTAGTAACAAAAACATTCATATTCCAACTGTAGTGTCCAACTGGTGCTAACGGGTAGGGTGTTTGTTTCTGAAACTCAGTGCTTGCCCACTGAGATTCCACAAGTGGACCAAGATGGTGTCTCAAGCCGTGTGAACTTTGTTACCTGGTCCAGCAGGTGTAGCCGCCTCACGTAGGTCTCCTCGGTGTGCAGGAGCTCCTGGGCAAGGTGCAGCAGCTTCTGAGGGTTGGAACACTGCAGAGAGAAGGGAACAAGTCACTGGGGGTGGGGTGGAGAAGCGCAGCTAGCCCAGGCTTCCCTCTGTGCACCAGGGTGAGCAGTGTCCATGGACAAAGGAGCTCGCTGGGCCTGGCCTTTGCTGCTTAGTTCTCAAAGATGCTATTTCCATTTCTGCCAGTACTCCAAGGTGGACTATAATGCCAAGAGGATTCCAGCTTCCCAGAGCTCTGACTACGGAGCAGCTATAGCGAACATATTCAGATCGACTGCAGGACTGGAGGTACTGTTCAGTGGCGGTGCTTGCACTGCACGCGCGAGGACCTGGAGTCCTTCTCAGCACCGTCGACAGAACAGAGCAATGTCAGCAAGGCAGATGGCAGGCTGGAAAGCAGGAGGCCCTTCTTCCCCACAGAGACATGGGTTTGACAGCAATATACGGAGCAGAAAACCTCTAGCGGAATTCTAGAGACCAGTTGGAAGCAACGGCACCCACGACTGCAAACCCGAGGAGAAGCTCCAGGGACAGAAAAACTGGTGTGCCTGCCTTAGTTCATCTGTGTCACAGATAGCAAAATACTTATGAATGAGCAGTTCTTAAACAACAGAAATTTATTTCTTATAGCTGTGGAGGCTGAAGTCCAAGGTCATGCCACCTGCAATTTTGGTGTGTGATAAAAGCCAGGTTTCTGTTCCCAAACACCTTGAATACGTGCCCTCACATGTTAGCTCTATTCCTGCTCTTTAAGCCAGAGCAGAAAGGCTGTGAGAAGTGGTTTTTTTCAGATCCCAACCAAAAAAAAAAAAAAAAAAAGAGTACATACAAGGAAATAGGAAATATGATCCAAATAGAAAAATAAAATAAACCAGTCTGAAGAAAGAGATCTGTGATCTACTTGAGAAAAAAGTCTGCACAGTTGGATACTGTGTAAAGTTGTGGAATGAGGTAGAAGAGAGCGCAGATAACTAGAGTCAGGAAAGGATGCAGAACAAAATGTGTCAACTAGGAGATTAAAAGCTATGGAAAAGAATGAAACACTTTGAGGGAGTGTGAAAAATACAATGACTGACCTGAGAAATTGGGAAAAAGAGTTCAGCAGTAGATCTGATCCGGCAGAAGAATCAGAAAACATGAAGAGTGGTCATTTAAAGTCACAGAGTCAGAGGAGCAGAACAACAGAGAGAAGCAAATAGACCATGAGGGACTTCTGGGACACAATCAGATGACCCAATCCATGCATGTGTGAGGCACAGAGGATGAGGGAGAGAATGGGACAGAGAATTTATTTGAAGAAATTATGGCTGAAAAATCCCGAAATCTGAGAAAAGAAATAGGCATGCAAATTCAAGGAGCTCAAAGAACTCCAACTAAATAAATCAACAGAAAACTATACATGAACAAGCTATAATTAGATTCAAGTCAAAAATCCCAGTCTTGAAAGCAGCAAAACAAAAGTAATGTCTCAGCTGGGGAGATAGCTTG